GGGGAGGGTGGGGGGGTGGGGACTCTGAGCCTTGGAGGACAGATCAAGGCAAGCCAGGGGCCCCATCTGGCCCCTGGGCCTGAGGTTCCCCACCCGTTATTAGGGTTGCGAGGTGTCTGGTATTGACCTGGACAGTCCGGTATTTTCGCCTCCTGTCTGGTAAAAAAATGCAGAAAATACCAGACACCTGAAATGACTGGTATTTTCTGAGCCAGGAGGCGAAAATACTGGACACCTGACAACACTACAACACACTTGGCAACTGGGCCCAGCCCCTGGCCCTAGGACTCCCTGCTTACCTGGTTCCGCAGGGAAGCTGCATTCTGGCTCCATCAAGAAAACAAAATGGCCACTGGCAAAAAGCCTAAAGAACTGAAGCAAGGGGAAGCAATGCCTTCCCTGTGTCTTAGTGCTCAACCACTCCACTCTTGCTATCTCTATTCTGACACTGCATACTCTTAAAGCTGTTTTAATGCTGGGGTTTTTTTTATTTTTATTTTTTTGCTTAACTCTCGGGGTTTTTCAACAACTTTGGTCTCCTCCTCCCCCCCCCCCCCCACACACACTTTTTTTTTCTTTTTCAGTCTCTGGGCTCCTTGATCTTAGTTTCAGTTTGCACAGTGTAGCCGTCAGTTCTTACCCCACCTTCCAGAACAGCCAAAAAAAGTTTGTTTTCTTACATTGACTTCTACTTCTTTTGTTGCTGGAGGCAGCACAGGTATCCCACCCTCGTCACCACTTGTTATGTCGTGGGGAGTGTCACAGTATAGGAAGAAAACAGGGGAAATGCAGAGAGCTGGAGTAGGTGCAAGTGTCCATTTTATTGCATAGCACAGAACTAATTAGAATAAGCCCAGACTAGCTGGGCTGACCCCAGTGACCTACTCAGTTACTATAACAACAAGATCTATATCTACAACCCAATAGAAAACACTGATGGGATGGGGAGGTTGCACATGCAACATGCTGCTAAATTGGCCTTTAGCAGATTAAATTCTCATCTATCCAACACATTTAGGTTACGTTTACACTGCAGGCTTCTTGTGCAAGAACTTTTTGTGGAAGAGATCTTCCGCAAAAATTTCTTGCACAAGAGCCTGTCCACACTGCCATGTGCTTTTGCACAAGAGATGTGCTTTTGCACAAGAGAACATCCATACTGCATGGATGCTTTTGCTCAAGAAAGCTCTGATGGCCATTCACAGAATGGCCATCAGAGCACCTGTGCTTTTCCCAACAAGAAACCCCTGTTGAGCAAGAAAGCCCGGTTGTCCATCCACACATGCCTTTTTGCGCAAGAGCAACCCCGTCTAGCTCAATATGATCTGCAAACTTTTGGAGTGTACAGTAATTACTCATTTAACACGTTCCCGCTTAACACGTTTTCACAATAACAGGATTATTTTAGGGAATGTTTTTCGAATAACACGACCATCCCCGAAATAACATGAAAATAATCAAGTGGCAGACTACTTCATGTGGTGGTATAAGTTGGTGAAAACAATGGTAATACACACGAGCAGATGAATACATGTAGTCACAGTGCTCCTCCTCTCACTCATGTGTTTATCTTTGTGTTTTAACAAACTGTGATGACTTGTGTTGCTAGATATCTAATGTTGATGTTGATGACCAAGCACCTACAAAAAACTGACTTTGCCACCACCACCTGAAACGCAACCCCCACCTTTTCCATTATTTTTAATGGGAAAATTGGCCCTGCATAGCACGTTTTCGCTTAGCACGAACATTTTCAGAAATGTATCTATAGTGTTAAATGAGGAATTACTGTATTTTGATCACAGAGCTCTGAGAGGGACTTGAAGGGTTGATGTTCTCATATATGAATCTCAGTGTTTGGTTGTGGAGACTTGTGAAAAGGCTAATTTTGATCAGAATTATAACCTGATAGTCCTATTCAGTAGCGCATATCAAAAGGGTCTCAATCTGAATGGAAAATAAAAGAGACTCCATCTCTCCCTGTGGCGGGAGAAAGCTCCGAGACTCAATACCCTCCTGTTGAGCAGGTGAGGTGAATGTTTGTGACCCACCATTGTGTTTTCCTGTGGCTCAGTGGCCACTGATACAAAACTGGTTCCCCATCCTTGGCCTATCACAATACATTTTGCAACCAGGAGTAGTGGGAAAAGGGGCTGAACTAATTAAACCACACTGACAACAAGTCAAATATTACCACAGGAAAGCTCCTGGAAAGTTTTCTGAGCTCCAGCTAGGATAGCCAGTAAGTGTCCAGCCAGCACCTGGCAACAGAGACAAGAGCTGGAGGGTAGGCACGTGTATTTGAAAGAGTAGCACCAGGGCTTCCATGTGGTAGAGCCAGAGATTCCAAGGCCAGAAGGGACCATGGCAATTAGGGTGATCTCTAGGATAACACAGGCCACAGAACTGCCCCGGAAGAGTCACTTGGAAGTAGAGATCTTTTAGAAAAACACCCAATCTTGATTTAAAAGGTGTCAGTGATAGAGAATGCCCCGCAGCTCTTGGTAAACTGTTCCAGTGGTTGATGATACATTTATGCCTTGTTTCCAGTCTGAATTTCTCTAGTGTCCCAACCCTACCTCCTCACATCTCTGCCATTTGATAATCCGTGAGGAATCCAAGAAAGACTCCTGCAGGAACTAATAGCAATGCATTCCTTCTCCCTCATCATCCCTACTCTGGGCAAAACTCTCCTCTTATGTAACTCTTTTGACAGACTCTGAAACCACAAGTATTTGAAGCTGTGATGAAGAAAGCAATGGTCTGTAATCCAAACTGACAGCAACATTATTAAACAGTGAGGAGAGAAGGCTGCAGAGAGCAAATTGCTCCCAGAGCCAAGAACCAGGTCAGTGTTGGGTGCGGTGGTGGGGATGGGATATAGAGCCTCACTCCTTGGCTATGTCTAGACTGGCATAATTTTCCACAAATGCTTTTAACGGAAAAGTTTTTCCATTAAAAGCATTTGCGGAAAAGAGTGTCTAGATTGGCACGGCTGCTTTTCCGCAAAAGCATCCGTGGCCAATCTAGATGTGCTTTTGCGCAAAAAAGCCGCAATTGCCATTTTCGCGATCAGGGCTTTTTTGCGCAAAACAAATCTGAGCTGTCTACACTGGCCCTTTTGCACAAAAGCTTTGCGCAAAAGGACTTTTGCCCGAACGGGAGCAGCATAGTATTTCCGCAAGAAGCACCGATTTCTTAAATTCAAGCGGCCAGTGTAGACAGCTGGCAAGTTTTTCCACAAAAGCAGCTGCTTTGGCGGAAAAACTTGCCAGTCTAGACACAGCCCTTGAGATTACCTAGTCAATAGCCCCATCCAAAGTAGTTAGCAGAAAGTGGGTCAGACAGGACCACCTGGTTCTGAAGGATGTACCTATTCCCAAAGTCTGGGGACATTCTGAGTCTGGTCTAATCATAGTGACAGGGAAGGCACATTTTCCAACGGGCTGAGGGTCAGGCTTTTGAGTGCTTAGCACCCACACTGGAGGCCAGATTTTCGCAAGAACTCAGCCTAGAATTTGCACCCCATCAGCTTGGAAATTCTGGCCTTGATGAATATTTGGGGGCTGACATAACACAAGCTGGGCTCATTTCAGCCCAGTTTATATTCCCCATCACATTAAGTTTTTCATGGTTTCAGAAAAAAAACCTCAACAACTTGTGAATGGGTGACAGGGGAAGGATCACTTGATGATTCTCTGTTCTGTTCATTTCCTCTGGGACACCTGGCACTGGCCGCTGTTAGGAGACAGGACACTGGACTAGATGGGCCTTTGGCCTGACCCAGTCTGGCTGCTCTATGCTATTGATGTTCTTAACTCATTGCTTGGTGTTCAGGTTTGCAAAGGGA